CGCGCCGTGTATGAGAGCTGCAAGGTCCTCGGTTCGCGTTCGCTCCTCCAGCCGCCTCCTGCCTCCCTTTCTCACTGGCATCGTTACCTCTTCCCCGTCGCTGCCTCAAATGACAGCTCAGGCTCGAGCCGCGGCGGCGCCCAGGCAGTTCCCAGGACCCGGCGGAGCCTTCCTCTGCAGCAGATTCTCCACCAAAACGCTTAAACTTTTCACGAACTTCTTAGAGAGGGGCAAGACGCGAAGGAACCAAGGAGATGTCTTCTCCGGGCGATTGCATCCCGCTTCTTTGCCATAGATTTACTTCCAGGGGGTGTCTGGGGGGTGTCAGATCTTGCTCACCCTCTTCCAACTTTCCCTGAATCGATGCCGCCCCCACTTGATCCCTGTGGAAGCCAGGAACTGGAATGAGCCACTTGTGTATTTTGTTGTCAGAGAGTCTGCAGTGTGTTTGATTTTTATTTTTCCCTCTCTCTCTGACATGTGTCAAGGAATAAAGGCTGGATACAGGTCCATTACGTCATTCTGCAGGCCAGTAAGTGTGTGATTAACAGCTTCAGATGCTCAAGGGTTCAGGGGCTTAGAATGCTGACCAAGCAACTGTATTCCCCCCCCTCGCCCCCAACCCCCAACAAACTCCTGCAACCACTCTTCCCTGGGTATCTCCGAGCCCTCCTTCGCCACCTCCCTCTTATCACTCTAGCCCCGCCCCCGCCTTTTACAGCTTTCCCTGGGGCGAACACTGTCCCTGGAGTGTGGGTAAGAGCTTCTGGTGTCTGAGGGGACCACAGCACCTGATCAGCCCACAATCTGCCCTTTTCTATTATTTAAGAAAGGCATTGGCAAGCCTTCTTTTCCAGGGCGAAAATGCTCAGCCCTGATACAAAAGGCATCTCAGGAAATGTTTAGAAGCGTTGTGATAATACTGTGTCCCTGTGGTGACTCAGGAAAGCTACACACCCACCCACTGCAAAGTGCTTAACTTTACAGAGCGCCTGCCTAGAACCGTTTAGCGGAAGAGGGGAGACTGAGAGAGGCGAGGCCGAGAAAATGAAATTTAGCTGAAAGGATCAAGATGGAACGTTTCATTTCCAAAGTGAGGGAATGTGCGTTGTTGTACCCAAAGTGCCATGCAATAAACTGGTGTGTGCCTTACTTTTTAGCTCTTAATCTTAGGTTTCTTTTAAAAGAGGAAGTTAAATACATAAGTCATGGAATTGAGTCAGACTCTTGGTATCTGGCAGTTGAAATAAAACCCCCATGTATGACTTGTTCAAGGATAAAATAAAAAGAACTCTTTGGAAGGGGTGTGTGTGTGCTGCAGAAATCAAATAAAACCTTTACTAACAGAGTGTCGGGTAGAGGGAGCAGGGGACTTGGGAGCTCTCTGATTTAGAGTGGGTAAAAGCTAAATAAAAGAAAATGTATATTATGAGTACGTGGGAATTTCTTGAAGAGCACATGTTTTATTATAATCAGATCTACTTTCTTCAAAGTGAAAGCCATGCTGTCTTGTAGACGTTTGTGACACTCCTGTCTGGGCTCTAATTGGCATTGTTCCCCAAGCCCGTGGCAGTATTTATTATTTATTCCCATCTTGAGATGAAATAGTGTAACCCGCACACAATACATGCTCATCGAAAATGTTAAACTTTTTGTTTGCGATGCTTAGACCTAAAGGAGAACACGGCCTGGGTCATGGGCACTGGAGAGTGTGATTAATGATCAGTGATTTAGTGATCAGTGATTAGTGGTTTTATTCAAACTGTTACCTCTGACCAGAAGCACACATCAGAGGATTAACAGGCTCTTTAGATAAATGCTCATTAGTGGAAGGGGAAAAGCAAAGATAATAGGCATGCACCCAGGGACAACTTTCGAAGAAAATCATTCCCGTCTTCAGAATAATAAGCTCTATTAACAGAAAGCCCTTTTAATTTAAAACTTGCTTTTATCTTGTAAATCAAAGTTAGATGTAAAAGTTTGTGGTGCCATTATAACCTAAATTTTCCCATATCCACTAGATGTGGATTATCTCAGTAGCGATATTTTTTTTTATTTAAATAAACAATTGGACCTTTAGAGCCACTGAACCCTGACAAGTTCTTAACTCCCAGGGTTTGAAGGTGTCCCCCCTCTCGGGTGGAGACTGCAGCTTGCTAACTAGAGGGCGCACTGTTATTTAGTGTTCTGTGTGGTGTGGTGCAGGAGTGGAAATCGGGCATGTAGCTGCTTGCGAGGTGTTCTTCAACACTTCCAACAAAGTTGATTCTGTGTAGGGTTGGAGGCTAGACAGTTCTACAAGTTTTTAGTCACATTTTCCATGTCAGTTAAATCTAGGGAGTTCAAGGCTACTGGAAGAATTAGTCTCATTACTAAAAGAAACTTAGAGAACGAGGGAGCAAAGGAGGTATGAGAGGAGAGTCTAGGAGGTACCTCTGGGTTGCAGAAGTGATTGTAAAATACCAGACCTGTTCTTTTTACTAAGAGCTGTTTTCTTCTGGCCCAAAGTACCAAGGCAAATACTCAAAGCTTTATTTTCTTCCTATTCTTGCTGGTGGAAAAGAAGTTATTAGAAAGGAAAGAAGGAAAAAAAAAAAAAACTTGAATCCGTGACTGCAGGAAGCAACACGTTGCTGATTTTATTCTACAGATAATGGTAAGATGATGTTTATGACGCTTACTAAGCAGAGACAGAGCTTGGCACTTAGTTAAATGGGACCAACCTTGTATTTTCGTAGATAGAAAGCATAAATGGAAGGACTATTTTACACAGAATTTTAACGTTGCTTTTGCCAGTTTCCTGGGACTTGTAGCATTTTGTGTGGAAGACTTTCTGTGTGTGTGTGTGATAATTATTACCAGAGTTCAATATGTTCATGAGAACAGCAGTGGGGAAGCTATGAAACTTGTTAAGCAATGTGTCAGGTAAGAATTTGCTTTTTCACAAGCTTTCATGAATCACTTCAATAAGTACTGTATTTAAGTTGTACTAAGAAAGGAGTTCTTTTAAACTTCCAAATTGAAAACAAAACAAAAATGATTCTCCACATCTAAACATAGGTGTGTATTCCCTTGGAGAAGGACGCTATTGATTGAATATCGGCCATTTAGTTTTAAAACTTAAAACTAAAACAACAGGAAAACTCATGTATGTCTTCCCATACGTTCTCTCATTTTTGGTTGCTTGTAGCATTTCGTATAGATCTGTTCTTTTCAAATCCTTACTGATTCATACTGACTTTTATTTTTCAACTTGACTCAGAGTACGTATGTTTGGGAGGATGATGAGAACTCTATGCCAACTACTTTTTAATGTACATTTCCGATACTCATAAATTGCCTGCCAACTAGAAGTCAGTTGTGACCTTATATAGTTTATATCCGAACAGATAATTTAGTAGAACATTCCCATGAAAAAGTGAACACCATGCCTTTATTTTTGTTATCTCTGTGATGTTGGGGTTTATTTGAACAGGATATTAAACGAATGGTGGTTTGTCACAGAGCTCCTGCAGAGCTTTTCAAGGATAGTAAACGGAAGTGGGTTTTTTTTTTTTTTTTTTCAATTTTTTGTCCATTTCCAACCACTCCACCATGGTTTGTCACAGAGCTCCTGCAGAGCTTTTCAAGGATAGTAAACGGAAGTGGGTTTTTTTTTTTTTTTTTTGCAATTATTTGTCAATTTCCAACACCTGCACATTCAAAACCAATCAATCATGGAGTGTTCATGGCTATTTGTACTGATGTCAAGTCCCTAATCTCCTGATTTCTTACTATAGTTTATAGCAATGATGCATCACCATCTTATAGTATTTCCTTAGCTCTGGAGTTTGCTTCTTAAGCTGGAAATTACCGGGCCTTCAGAAAAGTCGTGACATGTTTTTTTTCTGTGCAAAACTGCATCATGACTTTTCCAACAACCCAATATATTGTGGCGATATGATGTTCACTGGATCCCTGAAATGTGAACTTAGTATTTGGGGTTGGTTTTCTTCTGTTTGTGCCCTAAAGATTAAAATTGAGATATGGGTGGACTTAAGTTTTTTGTTATCTTCTTTTTTTTTTTTTTTTTTCCCCTTCGCTTCCAAGTAATGCTGTTCATCACAAAATTAATGCAATCCTGGCTGGTGCTTCTTTGGCTTCTTACAAATTGGATTTCAACAGCAATTTAAGCTATTTGTACTGATGTCAAGTCCCTAATC